GACTTGCTCCAACCAGTCAATATCCCTGTCCCCTGCTCAGCAGCTGCTTGCCACCACTCAACGCTGTCCCCGCAGCCAGCACTCAGCCTGTGCACCCTGCCCTCCCCGCGACCAACAGCAATAAATAAAACCTCCCAGCCTCACCGCTGACTATCCCGTTTTCCCTCCCTTTCGAGACAAAGGACTGTTCCTCTCCCCAGAGCCTGCGGCTCTGCACAGCATTCAGGAGCTGTGATTAATGGGTATCCGCACAGGGAAGAGCTGCAAACCTTCCGTGCGGTGATTTCTCCTGCTGGCAACTATAACTTCGCTATTGATTAAGTGTCATGTTGCCTGGCTTTTAATTATTTTTTAATGGATTGGTCAGAGACACTAATTATGTAGGAGACTGACAGCAAAATGCCTCCAGGAACATTAGCAGAGGTTTTCTGGAGTGACATGGAGATCTCCATCAACCAGCCCTTGTGCTGGGACATGGAGTCCCAGTAGCTCTGCTCCTGGCACAAGCTTTGGACAGGCCACGGATTGGGAGCATCCCGGCTGAACAGCACATGGCTGCTGGGTCGAGCTCAGCAGTAACACCAGTTTCGGATGGGCACGAGCCACATCCTGCTGCAGCATCATGGGGGCTGTGAGGACAGTGCTCTGTGCCAAGAGAGCCTGAAAACAGCCCATGCCATGGTTTTTCCATAATGGCAATAGTGCAGATAAGCAATTGGAGCAATTATAACTTGCAGCAACTGGAGCAGTTATAACTTGCAGCAGCTTTTAGCCCCGACAGGGTAAATAAACTGTGATGATGCTTCATGGCCTCAACAGCACCAATTCATTGCCAGAGGCTGCAGCAATTGTCTGGGTGGCATCTCCAGAGCCAGAGGGAGCAGGGATAATCCTTACCTGCCTCTGTGATGTGTTTCGTCGCCGGCACAGGAACGTTTGAGCACTCGAAGTACTCCAGGTCATCTTCCGGCTCGCTCTTCCTCTCTAGCCCAGCTGGTTTCTGCACGGAGGTGGTGGAGGCCAGCTTCTCCTCATCAGTGGCGTGCCCATCCCGGTTTGTAATATCTGGGATTTCTGAGATCAACACTCCATCATCCTGCAGGATCAAGGCATGCAGTTAAGCAGGGCAGACCTAATCCATAGGGATCAGGCAGCCATGTTGCTGGACAGTCCATGGAAAGCAGGGGAGGCTTAGCATCCACCGGCAAGCTGCTCCCCACCAGCTCCTCGGCAGGTTTTGGCAGAAGGAAACACACGGTGCTGGGGACAGAAGCAATTAACACACAAACACCATTACCCTGACCGCAGAGCTCGGTGCTTTGCCCTGGCCCACGCTGGGGACAGGGCTGAGACCCTGCACACATGGGGGCCGTGAGGAAGCACATGGAAAACAGGGAGCCCTTCCTGGCCTGGAGCCTACCAGCACCAAGCACAGCCCTACTCCCTCCCTTCCCACCAGGAACATGTTCTCCCTGTGGCTGGGAGCTGCTGCTTTCAGGGAACCAGCCCTTTGATCAGGCGTTGCTGCAGGCACACACCAGCCCCACGCCACCGTCCTGGACACCCAAGCACCCCTGCACCCAGCCTGGCGGGTGTCGGACCCCACGTACCTGAGCGCAAACGTCCAGGACCAGGGCCTGGGTCTCGTACTGCTTCACCTTGCAGCCGCTCCTGCGGGCGAGAAAGAAGAGGCTGGCTGAGGCGTGGGGCTGCGGGGGCTGTGTGGGGAGGGGATGGGGGCACGTGCGAGACAGCCCAAGCAAGGGGAGGCAGCCCCAGCGCTAGCATTGCACCACGCCGCGTGCCAGCAACCCCACTCACCAGTGAAATATCGAGGCAGAGCGAGTTCTGCAACGGACAGAAGGAACAAGCGAACAAAACACAGGACTACAGAGCAGTTGGAGATGTTTATTCCCAGTGAAGGTAAGGATCGGCGCAAGGACCCCTTGGCAGTCGCCAGGGAGTCAGCAAAGAAAGATTTCCCTTGCTGCACACTCGCCCTGTGCATCCAGCATGACAGCATCCCGAGGTCTCTGTGCAAGTTGATTTTCTGCAGGAAGGACCCATTTCCAGGTTGTCTCATGCCCCATCCCTGCAGCGGGAAGTTTCTCCAGGACATCTCCGCAGCATCCATGTCTCCCATATGAGCCAGATGCACGCAGCCAGGGCAGAGGGCTCTGCTTTCCTTGCGAGAGAGCACCAAGGCAATCCATTGCTCCTTGAAGGCTCCCTCCAGCAGACACAAATGCCATCCCAAGGAGAAGGGCCTGGAGATCGAGCTCAGGCGGTCCTGTGGCTGGATGCCCTCCAGTGAGGAAGATCTCCCTGGGACAACATCCCGCGTTCCTCAAAAGGTGCCATCCCGAAGCCCATCTGCACAGGCACAGCCACATCCTGGCACACTGGGCATCAGCATCTTGAACCAGCTCGAGGCAGCGGAGGGATAATCCCAGTGGGAATGGCCGTGTGGGGCACTGGGTCCACGCCGCGGGGGCTGGGGGAGTCGGCGATGGGATGATGTGTCACAGCACCCACCCCGGCATGCAGAGAGCACCAGCTCTCCTCCTGCACCTCACCCTCTCTCACTCCACGTTCAGCAATCTCCCGCGTCTCGCTGCCACGTCCGACCCCCTCAGGAAGAATGATATTCCCTAAGCTGAAGACAACCCTACCTGGGGAGGGATCTCTGCCTCCAGCCTGCGCTCCCACCTCCGGGACAGGTCAGAGGCTCGGCGGCCGTGTGGTGGAGGGGCAGCCGTTCCTAGGTTTAAAGACTCATGCCCACCCACTTCACTCTCCAGGCTCCCCATCCCATTGCACGCGCATCAGCGCAGCACAACGCGCCCCGTGGCACGGCACACGGAATTTTTATGTGCATGCTAACACACACGCATGGGGCAAATTGGGGGGGAAAAAAAAAAATAATCACCCTTAGCTGTTTTTCTTCCATCGTGCCCCAACGCGAGCAGATCCGCGGCAGCTCGCTGTGCATGGCCCACCTCTGCTCCACACCACCCCCACGGCTAGGGATCACATCATCTGGGACCCGGTTTGATCCACACCTCCCCCAGCACCAAGGTAACCGCTCTGTGATTCAAGGGGACAGGGAAACGGGGAGGACAGCCAAGGCGGATGACCCCAGCTCTGCCCCACAGCCCCCGAGCCAGCACCCACAGCCCCCCCACTGGTAACGCAGGGGTTACCAGTGTTCGCAGCTGGATAAAGCCAACCACGTGGGCAGAGGGGTCCCACGCCCAGGGCCGGGCACCCGCTGTGGGGCAGGGTGCTGTAAAAAGGCAGATCAACTCTCGGCCGAGGCACAGATGTCGGTACTTGGGCGCAGCTCTAATTCCATCCGTGCATATGGCAGGGAGCACTAAGCGGACAAGGAGGGCATCCCGACGGATGACACGAGATCAGGAACTAAGCCCAGCACGCTCCTTCCTCCAATTATCCTTGCACGAGAGCAGAGCCCAGAAGGCCTGGGGAGGGCTGACACTCTGCAAGAGACACAGAGCATCACCAGGAAACTAAATGGGGGCAACCCCAGTCCCTCCTGTGTGCCCTCCCCGCGGGTGGAAGCGCAGGGCAGTGGCAAGCCCCAGGGGCACAGCACAGGGCACTCGATATTTCACTGGTGTCCCGCCACGGGGCTGCTCATGCCAGGGGTACGGCATGGCCCCCGCTGCAGTGGCGCAGGTGGCAGGGCAGCGAACGGGGGCTGCTGCACTCGAGCCGAGCTCTCTAACCCATCCAGGACCTCGCAGATGAGCCCTACCGCCCTGGCTTTGGGCACAAGAGGGATGCTTCAGGTACAGCCACAGGCAGCTCAGCTCTGGCAGCCACCAAAAATGTAGAGAGCACCCTGCTTGGAGCTGGCTGTGAGGTCAAAGCTCCCCCTGGGACTATCCAACTATCCTGACTCCCTCGCCTCCCAGCTGATGCTTTCCACCCTATCCCCCCAGAGCAGCTGCCTTCCTGGAGATTTTGCATAGGAGGGGGGTAAAAGACACCCTCATCTTCAGGACTAAAATCTCCCCATCTTTCCAGGGACCTGGATTGCACAGAAACCTGCTCCCCCTCTGTCAGCCGATGCCCTGGCTTAGGGTGCTCGGACATCGTCGCAAGGCATTGCGCGCCGGCATGCTGCGAGAGCGAGCACAGGCGCACGCCTTGGCACGGCTCTCCTCCCTCGCCAGGTTAAGCTGCCCTGGGACACGGCCTGAGAGATGCAGGACACAAACCAGACAGCGGGGAGCAGAGCCAAAGGGAGCCCGCATGCCGTGAAGACGAGTGGGGCCAGCACATACCCAGAAAGAGGACCAAAACCAGCAAAGGGAGAGGAGAAATACACACAGAAGAGAGTACTTACAACAGAAAACAGAGAAATTTCACTTGTTCAGTAGTCCTGATGCACCAAAGCAAGGACAGGGAGAGAGACAGACAGATGGAGAGAAGAAGAGCACGTGAAAAGACCTGGATATTAACTGGAGAAACACAGCGAGTTGCCCAGCTCTGCCTTTCTGGAAGGAACACGTGGATAAAGGATCTGCATTTGCTATGTGCAGTGGTAAGGTGAGATTCAAGCACAAACCCCGCTGCCGGGGAGGTGAGCACCCAAAGCAGCCCTTGCTGCTCCGAGAGGATAGAGAGAGAGCCTGAAAATTCCCTGCTGCTTCCCCTACGGGAACGCCACCTCTTAAAAAGATCCAGATCAACCCTTCACAAAGTATTTCTCAGAGAAAAACATCCAACATACCCTTATGTCTGCCTGCTAGGTTTTATCTGCACCCTCTGCAATAACCCACTCCCTAGTTTTCCCAGCGGACAATCCATTAGCAGAGCAACGGCTTGTTTCAGCTTTACTGCCAGATCAGCCACAAGCTCCGTGCTCCTGAAGTTTCCCCTTTCAAGCTTATTTCTTGCTTTGATTTCAACTGGTTCCAATTACCCGTGTTAAGCACAATCACAAATTATAGTGGAAGGACCCAAAATTGGCTTGCAATTATTCCCTCGTGCAATACCCCCTCTGCTTCCCATGCCCGCCCAGGGACCCTGCGGCTCTCTTAAACGTCAGGCTGCAACTTCAGCCCTGCACAGACCCATGTTGGAGGACATCTGGGATGGGTGAAATACCAGAAAACAGCGTTTTAGCCATGCAACCTGTTCCCAGAGGAGAGCCGTGCTGTCAGCATCCCCAGGCGGCACTATGAAATGTCACCATCCCCATGGGGGGTTTAAATAGCACGGTTGAGGAACTAGAAATGCTCTTAAATAGTTCAGCAAGGGATAAGCAGCTCCCTACCGCCTGTGTGGATGTGATAAAAGCCATACACAATCTGCCTGTTCAACCCCTGTCCTCTTCCCCTATTACAAAGACAGGGCAGCTCACTAAAATCCCAGTAGCATCCGATTCACCAGCCCTGCATCCTCAGCCCCACAGACCCGTGGGCGCTTGGCAAGACCTGTGGGCTCAAGCCTCCGTTACAGCTACTCCCTACAGCACCTCAACCCCACAAGTGAGAGCCCCGAGGGGTTCTCCAAAGTGGTGATCGTGCAAAACGGGTCCCGATCCAGCTTTCCCCGCTCTGCCTGGGACACTGGCACCGCTTTGGGACAGCCGTCCCTCTTCTCCCACCCGCCCCTGAGCACAGGGAGATGGGAGCTGCCCTCCGCCAGGACACGGGGTGGGTAAAACCGAGGTGCATGTATTTTTGACTCACTCAGAAGGCACAGGGTTATGAGAACCATCACCATTGCGGGGGAACAGAGGGGGTTGCCAGCCCCCAACCCGCTCCGCACACCCCAGCACTCACGTTATCAGGCGTGACTTGGGCTTCTTCGGGGAGTCTCTGCCTTTCACAAGGTCGTCCGGCATCTCCAGCGTCTGAGACTCGAGGATTTCGTTGAGGCTGTTATCGGCAGTGGGGCAGGAGTCAGCGGTGGTGTTGGCGAGGGTCTTGGTGGGCTTAAATGGATCCACGGAATCAAAGTTGTTGGGGTCAAACTGGTAAGAGCCCTTGGGGAGAGTCGGAGAGTTTTGCAGCGCTGAGCAGCCACCAAAGGGGTTGAGACCTGGGCTGTCCCAGACCGTGGGACCCAGCCGGGGGGAGCCCCGGGGAGGCGGCAGCTCCGTGGGACCCCTGTCCGCATCTTCAGCTGGTTTCTTGGGGGGCTCTCGGTGTCTCTTCGGTGTCAGCTTGCTGGCTGGGATCCTGCTGCCCTTCCTGGACGCAGCTCTCCTGGCCTCCACACTCGCTCCCTCCTCCGTACACTCAACCTCAGGTTTTGGGACCTGCCCTTTGGGCTCCAGGGCCAGGTCCCCATCCAGCTCACCAGGAGGGGTGTCCAGGGGGGAGCTCTGCAGCTGGCAGCCCCCTGCCACACTCTCATCATGCTGCTCGGGGTCCAATTGGTAGGATGCTTGGGGCACCGGGGTCTCCTCCGTGGTTTCTTCCATTTCCCTCCCCAGCGAAGTTGGTTTCCCTTTCCTGAGCTGGCCCTGGCTGGGCGAGCACTCCGGGACCAGAAGATCAGCCTTCGGCTCCACCAGCCTGGTGCCAGCATCCATCGTGCCCTCTCCCAACATGACCCACTCCCCGGTGGCTCTTCCCGCATGGGGCACCGGGGCCAGCTCTGCAGTGGGCACAGCAGCGCACCCAGCATCAGCCCCACATCCCAGCGTAGCCAGAACCTGGGCTTCAGCTGGTGGCTGCGTCAGGGACGAGTCTTCAGGATCGGCTTCCCCTTTAGTATCCGAGGGCCCTCGGATCTCCAGCTGAGCCTCATCTTTGGGATGTATCCCAGGCGAGCTGTCCTGGCGAGTTTCCCCTACCCGCAGGTCCCCATGGCCGCTCGGCTCTGAAAAGATAAAAGGAGCTGGTTAAACCCGTCTGCCACGCACCCCCTTTCAGAGGGGCTCCCCTCCCCTCCGCACGGCTGCTCCAGGACCAGATTTCAGGTGTATGCACCAACCCAATGCTCAGACCCTGTAAAACCCGAAGCCTGCAAACACACTGGAGAAAACAAACATGGTCTGCGGGGCCGTGTTGTCTGCACCACGCCAGCCTACCTACAGCATCTCCATTTTTCCTTTCTTCTCCCCAGTCCGGGCTGGCAGCAGCACCAGGGGAGTTTTGCAAAGCCCAGCGATGCCCCCCGGGGCCAGACACCAGCCGGGACATCCCCCATGTCCAAGTGGTATGGCAGCAGCAGGGAGTCGCTGCTCACCTGGGCAGAGAGTTAAAAATCACTGAGAGGAATTCAGGGAAGGGTGATATGAGAAACACCACGGAATGTGCCACCCCATCGGGAGGGTCCTCTGCAACCCGCGAGCCCCAGATACAACAGCGGCACGCGGTCGATGCTCTTGCCCGCAGACCGTCACTGCAAGGCACCAACGCCAAAAGCACCGAGGTTTAAAAAAAAGAGGGAAGGGGGGGGCACAGCAGAGCAATGAGGCCCCCAAATTGCAGCGAGCCCACAGGGGAGGGTCTGCCGGGGGCGGCTCTGCTCAGCCCCGCGCCTGCCCGCAGTATCAGTCCTGACCGCTGAGGCAGGATGCTGCCTGCGCCCCTTCCTGCACCAACGCTGCCCGTGCGTTTACGCCAGGCTCACCACGCTGCTGTCAGAGTTTCTTAATCATAAATCCTGATCCATGACTTAATCACTATTACTCCAATCCCTTCCCCTAAATCCTTTTACTGTTTAATCTTTTCTTTGCTGTCAGGGGATGGGGAAGCTCCTTATCTACCGAGGCATCCGGAAAGCTACACCCACCAAGCACCGAGAGCCCGGACCTCAGCACAGGTGGGTGAATCTCAACCAGGGGCAATTGCACAGACTCCCGGAGTAAGGCAGAAGGGGATGCTGGGGTGCTCAGCACCCATCAGGGAGCACACAGGTCCCACAGCTCTCACTGGCACCTTTCTGGTGAGACACAGCCCAGCCAGGCCCTGTCAACGATGAGCTACTGTAGACCGACGCGGCCTGGAAAGGCCGTTTCTGTCACGGGGCATTTGCATCCAGCTCGTGCTTGCTGGTGACTGAGCGAGCCACAGGCTGGCAGGAGGAGAAAAGTGAATCAGGCAAATATCTGGTCCCTGGGCTAATCCAGGACACAGAGCCAGCAACCCTGACTCAGCTGATGGCTGGTGGTTTGCATAATTGATCTCCAGGATGCTGAAAGCCATGGAAATGAATCATGAAGAGCTGTGTGCTCCCTGAGACTGCAAAAAAAAGCTCCCCCAGACAGCAAAAACCTCCCTCCAAATAGACACTGCCTTGCTGCCCCAGAAAACGCATCAGTAAACACAAATCCAGTGGATACGTACTTGGAGTACAGCCAGAAGACACTCAGAGGCAGCGCCTGCCAGACCTTTCCATCATTGGGAACCAGGCAAACCTCCTTAACAGACCCCAAAGAAAACTTTACTACACTTGCTGTATCGCTCAGATGTCTTAAACCTCACTGAGACAGCCCTGAATGGAAGAATAGACTTCAAAGTCAGGGCAAAAGGCACCTTTGAAATGCATTTTACATTCCCACCGGAAGGTTTTGCAGCACCATTCTCACAGACATAAGGCCATCCTGGTTTCTAACCCAGGCCATGAGTAATTACTCCCTGAATAACAAGCAGTCGGCACGCAAACCACCTCTCCTTTCCTTGCTGTGGGTGTCTGCAGGGCGGGGAGAGAGGGAGGGATGGTGTGTGTGACCATCACTCCAAACAACCATTTCTTCCCAGAAATTAGAAGAACCACCCGCCCAGGTCTTCTAATTTTGGGATTCACTGCCACTCCGCTCCCTGCGGCACAGCCTGCCTGCCCAGCCAGTACGAGAGGCTGAGGGACTGGAATACAGTGGGAGACAGACGGCACAGGTGAAGGACAGCTCAGGAGCTTGCCGGTGATTTGGGCAATTTTCTGAAGTGGGAGCATCCCTCCTGCAAGCTCCAGGTTTTGGCGGGGGAATTTTTCTCTTCTCTGGCTACAAGACAGGTACCAACAACTTGTGCAAGTTAACAGCCACGCTCAGCACCGCGTCTGAGTGGCGACCCAAGGGAGCGGAGAAAGGAACGGGAGCCCAAGGGGTGCCCCTCTCTGCTGCAACCACCCCACCCCCGCCCTCCCCGAACGCTCACGCTATGCCCCAGAGTCCCGATTTTCAAGTCCTGCTTGCGCTGAGCTATTCAACTCCCCGGAGACGGCAGCCTCGGGGGCTGAGGGCGCCCCGGGACGGGCTGGCGCTGGCACCGAGATCGCTCCCTGCAGAGGACAAAGGCAGGCAAAGCCACGAGCTCAATTAATTCTCCAGAGAGTGCTGCCAGGATGAAGAGCGCAATGGTTTGTGGGGCAGAGCCCTCGCCACCAGGACCGGGATGCTCCCAGGGCACCATCCAGCTGCTTTCCCAAGGGATGGAGACACAGCCCTGCCCCTCTGATGGGAGCAGGACAAAAACTCCTCCTGTAAAGCAGTCCCAAAGTCAGTGGCACCCCAGGCAAACTCACCCCACACGGGTCCTCCTGCCTAGCAAGGGCTGTGAGGGGGGGACAGCCTGGCCCCAAGCCCTCCCCCAGCCCCAGCACTTCCCCTCACTGTGCATTTCCTCTGCCTCCAAC